GCCGATCGAGCGAGAGAGAGGAGAGCAGCGAGAGTGAAGAGGAAAGAAGAGGAAAGAGGAGGAAAGTTGTGGGCACCTTTTTGTTGAGCTTTGGGTCATCTCTTACCATGCTTAGAAGATCAAGTTTGGCTAGAAAAGCGGAATGGGTGGATACCCACTACCTTGTTCTTGAAGGTAAAGCTTTTGATCCGAAATCTTTTTCCAATTCCTTGTTGGATATGCTTAGATTTCAGGGTTTGTTGGATGGGTTTCTCGCCGTAAGGGCCGAGACTTACCCGAGTTTGGTTAAGGAGTTTTATCGTCACATGGTTGTGACAAAAGAGGGTGAGAAGCTTGAGATCACTTCCAAAGTGAGAGGTGTGAAGTTGGTGCTTTCTGAAAAGAGGCTGGCTCAGCTTTTGAGTTTGACTGCTTCCGGAGTGGCTCAGTATAGTGGTCATTCTTGGATTAGTACGGATATCATGGGGTACCGGGACTACTTGAGCTATTTGTTAGGCCGTACGAGTGGGTTCACTCAAGCTTCAAGGCCGGAGAAGAAGTGGTTGACTGCGGAGAAGGATTTTGGTGATGTTGGTATCGGACTGTTTGTTGCCTAACAACAACAAGAGCAAGTTGCTGGGTAAGTTGGAGTGCACTTTTGCCTTCTGTCTCAAGAATATGGTTAAGTTCAACTTGCCTGCTTTGATGTTGCAACACATGGTGTTTTGCCGGGATCACAATCAGAAGAGCTTACCATACGGGATAGTGTTGAGTTGGATCTTGGTTAGGAAGGGTGTCAGTGTGGATGGTTGCCTTCCGAAGGCCGTGGGAAAGCTAGTGTTGGATGCCACCAACCTTCGGAGTTGTAATCTGTTTCAGTTGGATGATGGTGAATACATCACGCTTGAGGAAGTGGTAAGAAAAGTACCCGAAAAAAGGGCAGAGTTGGCAGCCGAGCTTGGAATCAATGCCGGGAAGTTGAGCCTCGCTGTTCAAAGCATGGGAGGTGATGAGGAAGCCGAAGATGAAGCCGACCGTGAGGATGAGGTGGGAGCACCAGAAGCCGTTGCAGCTGAAGAAAGTGACTCGGAGAGCGAAGAAAACCGACGAAGAAGAGAAGCCCACACCAAGAGGGAGCACGACTCCATGTCGCACGAAGAGCGTGTTGTTGCTTTGCTTCGTCAGCAGAACCGTATGATCGAGGAGGGCTTCGCCTACATGAAGATGCAGTTCGTCGCCGTGCACCACCGGCTAGACCAGATCGAAGCCAGCTCGAGTCATAGAGGAGAAGACGAGGAAGAGCCCGAGGAGTCGGAGCGCGAGTCCTTCTAGTGTGAAGCTGTGGCTACCTTGTTCGCCTTTTTCTTGGTGGTTGTTTCTCCCTAGCCGATGTTGCCGTTGTTGGTTGCTTGTTGTTGCTTTCGTGCTTGTTTTGCTTGTTGCCTTGTGGCTTAGTTAGCTTAGTAGTAGTAGTGGGTGTTTTGTGTTGGTTGTCTTGTTCTTAGTGTTTGGCTAGAAGTTGATGTTGGTGTTAAGTCTGGAGTTCGTGATGCTCAATCCAACCCTTTTGTTAAACTCTTGCGAATTCTTGATTTGATATGCCATCTTTCTTTTTTGGAATTCTTGTGAAATCTTTTGAGTTTTGACCAAAAGAATTCGTTCTTGAACCTCTTGTCACAATGTTGTTTCCTATTACCGTTTGTTCTAATTCGTCGTACCCAAGCTTCGAAGACGAAGCTTCTTTGAAGGGGGAGAGGATGTGACACCCCAAAATCTAAATTCAATTAATGGGTTAATTGAGTAATTAATCCTATTTCAATTGGGGAATTAATTTCTAAAATCCTGAAATTCAATACTCGAGGACTAGTATTTGACTAGTCAATTCCAAAGTCAGAGTTGTACCTTGAGCTTTGAAGGGAGTTCCCTTGTTCCTTACATTTCCTAATGTTAGTAAGGGCATTTTTGACCTTACACATGGTGTTAGTATTGTAACCTAACCTAGTAGACATCTTCATTCTATCCCTTACACTTTCTAAAAATCTAGCTCTACCTTCTCTCTAAAAAGGTGAGTAGCTTTTCTTCCAAGCCAAGTTGAGACCTTGCCAAGACTTCAAGAGTTGCTTCCAAGATTCAACCTTTCTTATATTTGGGCATCTAGGAGGGTAAGATTTAGGTCCATCTTGTGTTTTTTGTTTCATCTTAGGTGTCTTTTCTTAAAGGTAGGATCTTTATGATCTTTTGGTTTGTTCTTGAAGTGGGTTTGGAAGGTGAGCCTTGAGAAGAGCTTGTTAAGGTGTAAAGTGAAGTCTTTTAGTCTACAAGAGGTAACCCATGCTCTACAAAATCTATTTTGCTTACCTATATGTGATTTCTTGGATTCTACATGTGTTTAGCTATGAAATGTGAGTGTTTATGCATGTTCTTGTGAAAATGCATATCTAGAGCTTGTGTTTAGGGTTCATTTGTGCCATTGCTTGGCATTTCCTATGATTCAAGTCATTTTGTTGTATTGGGTGAGATTTGACATGTTTTGGACTTAAATTTGTGTTTGGAGATGAATTTCGCAAAGTGTGGTGTTGTGGTACAAGTTGTACCCGCGGGCGGAACGGCGGGTAAGAGGCCCACCCGCGGGGTACACAAGGTGGGAGGCCTGTACCCGCGGGCGGAACCGCGGGTAGGGGCCAACCCGTGGGCCTACCCGCGGGTACCCTATGTTAGATGTTGGGAGATTTGTTCCCCGTGATTCTTTTGACTCGGTATTTGGTCTTTGGACTTCCCGATGTTCTTTTGTGGAACTATTTGAGTGTCTTCTTGATGTTTCGTATGTCTAGAACTATGTGGTAGGTATCCATGTAGGACTTTGGTGTCTTGAATCGTGCTAAGTGTTCAACATTGTGTTTCGTTGAACCGTGATGTGTCTTGTGTGTTCCTCGGAACTACCTTTGGTTTATCCGTTTGATAAGCATACTAGTTCGGTGTCTAAATGCTAGCCTGTGTGTTATTTGTACCTTCCGATGGGTTGATAATAACTTGTGTTATTCATCGTTGTTGTTGTTGGACTTTGTTCCATTCCTTGATTGAGTATGTTTCATACCTTCGTTGTAATCCGTTGATTGATTCCTGTTGAGGTGTGATGCGTGTGTGGCTTTACCTGGATTTCATGATTAGTGGTATGGGACACTAGTCACCAAGGTATTGCAGCGGTCCTCGTGGTGGTCGTGACGTGATTATGGAGTTGTGACCTGTGTGTCAGGTTCACGTATTTTCTTGGGAAGGCGTGTGTCGCCGTGTGTGTGTACGGTACCTTGTGTACTATGAAATTGGTGGCTTTGTTGGTGGTTTGTTGGTGGGGGACGACGGTCCCAGGAGGGAAAAGGTTGGACTAAGAAGTACAGTGGTCCTGGAGGTAATGGTTGGGAAGAAGAAACAAGGTTGGGGGTAGCCATAAGGTTGGAATCGGGCATAAGGCAGGCATATCAACTCGTGATGGGTGATGTCACGAGGGCTATTGTAGCCACTGTGGTGAGTTCTTCTCTTGTGACGTGTGTAGTCACAAAGGCATGTGTTGCCTTGGCATGTGTTGCCGGTTGTGTGAGTCTTATTCTTTTGCGTTGTGCTTGTCGGGTTTTGATCTATTGAGTGATGATAGATCATGCCTTGACTCTTTTGTGTGTCGTGTTGTTCTTGTGGTCTTGGGATGTGTTCGCGTGTGTTGTTGTTGAGAGTGTTGAGTCTTACGGTTGCTTTTACTCTTGGTTTTACACTTATATATATATATATATAAATATATATATATATATATATATATATATATATATGTATGTATGTATTAAGTTTCGAAAATGGTTTTACAACTTATACCTTACTTATGTATGTTATTTCACATGTATTGGTGGGTTACCAGCATTATTCGCTGACCGGGCGTCGACCCATGTTTATTTGTGATATTTCAGGTGATGTCTAGACGAGCGCGCAGTCTAGTGCCCGATAGCATCACTCCTTCCGTTTGTTTTATGGCCTGTGTGCCTATCTAGTTGTAGACTTGTGAGATTTGGGATAGTTGTATACCATGCAGATTTGGCCGTAGCGTTCATCTTTGTTGATGAACGTGGCATAACACCCCATGACTTGGATTTATGTTTATCCAGTTATCTTTTAATCTTCCGCTGTGCTAGTTGTTTTGTTGTGTTATCTGCATGTGTTAAGACTTTTTTATAGCATGTGTTTTGGGGGGGTGTTACACCCTACCTCAAATCTTGATCCCAACACAAGCCAAAACATCATGAACCCTTTCATACGGATAGCCGAACTGGAAACAGTGACGAATGAAGAGATTTATCAAGTTGATGGACTTGATTCAATTCTAGTGAATGAGTATCAAAGAGTTCTAAATTGGAGAAATTGGAGACTTGGCTCTTATGAAGAATTGATGACAAGAGGACCAAGTATGGAAGAAGAAGAAGCATTTTCTTTACAATTGATCGGCAGTTTTGATATTGGCCATGCAACATTGATCTCAATCGTAAATGGAGTGGCATTTGTGAGTAAGCTAAAAGCCAAATTGGCCGAGACTTCTCATGTCAACACAGTACAAGAGAACATGCCAACTGAAGATGATTTTTTGGTTGATATTGATGATTTTGATCAACCCATTGAGCTTACTAGACACGAAGAAGGAGACAATGCCACACATACTCAACTTTTTGATCAACATGGTGTGAATCCACTTTTGATGGACATCGAATTATATGATGTTAGTGTGTTGAATCAGACTGAAATTAGCCATGAAGATCAAGCCATGCATGACAGCCACCACACGGAAGAAAATCAGTCTACACATGCAGAAAGTGTCCAAGGTGACACACACGTGTTAGAAGAACACACGCCGGAAGAAGAAAGAAATTTGTTGGAAACTCAAGCAAAATCTCACATGCTTAGAGATAATTCTGCTCAAGAAGGAGCAAGATGTATTCTCGCGACCCAAGAAGAGCAAAATCTTGATGGCACTACATCAAATGCACAATTGAAAAATCTGAAAAATGTTGTACTAAGTCTAGTTGACCGAATGGAGAGCATGATTCAAGGTATCTACACTCATGTGGATCATGTTGTCAATACTCAAGGAGGAAAATTTGAAACCTCATTTGATGAAAACCGAAGGAGTCAACAACACTTGATTGATACACATCAAGCACTTGAGAGACAAGTTGGCGGATTAAATACAAATGTCAAAGGACAACTCAATGAGTTCTACATCCAACTGTCTCAAATCCTCAAAAATGCTGGAAAAGCCAATGAAGCAATTGCCGTGAATCAAAGTCAGGGAATTCTCAATGTGGTACATCAACATGAGAAGCAAATTGGTGATGTCCACACAGATCTCATCTCCATCAACACCAAAGTAGGCTGCCTTCGAGGTTCATATGAAAACATCTCTGAATCTGTTTCATCTCTTCGTGAATCGGTACATACACTGAATAATTACGCCAAAAAGGGGGAAGAGAGATTCAGTCATTTGGAAGGCATGCTGGAAATGATCATGACTGCCATGGCTACCAGAAATGTTGGTACAAGCAGTAGTAGAGGAGGAGGCAGATCTGCTGGCAGATCCAATGTTGCAAGAAGATGAGGAATGGAATATTGGTTCGGTGGTGATGCAGGCAGTCCAGGTGGATCAAGCAGTACAAATACCACTCACCGTTCATTTCGTGAAATTGTTTGTGCAGGAGGCAATCAAGAACAAATAAATTGGTACAACAAAGCAGCTCTTTATTTGGAATCCACACCAAGAGATGGTAGAGTTGAATTGCCAAGATTGGCAACTTGAATGATCTACCAAAAGGAATGAAGAAGAGTGGTCCAAGTGACCAAAACTTGTGGGTTTCGAATGAGAATTTCAGGAGAATCAAGAGCTATGCAAGATCTTTGGTGATCATGGTGCTTAGAGACTACATCAAAGTCAATGATGCCGAGCTTCAAGGAGACAGAAACATAGAAGAATGCATCATATGGTATGAAGAAAGTGTACTGCCCGGGAACAACATTATTGAAGCATTTAACTACTACGTGATTGGGCAGGTATGCAACGATTATGCCATTAGTGACAATTTCATTGAAGTTAAGAATCATATAAATCATGTGCTAGAAGAAAGGAGAAATAGAATAATCAAATGATTTGTATGATTGATGTCACAATGTTTTGTATGGTCTACGAACTTGGAGTATGACCATAAAACAATTTGCAATGATGCTCTTCGATTATCTGTTTATGATGCTTTTAAGTTTTTTTTTCTATTGATATTTTTATTTGTCTTGAAAGGTAAAATTTTTAGCTTAGATTGTATTAAAATCGCATAAACTGGAAAATTGCAAAATTCGTTACCATTAAAATCCAAAAATGCGAATAGGAATTTTTGTTGCTAAAAATACCTTTCCTAGAGTCAAAATCAAATGTTAAACTCGTCATGGCTATGTCTAGAATAATAAAATCTTTTGAAAAATAATTCTTTTTTAAAAGACAGCCAAATGACTGAGTATAGGTTTTGGCGTCATCAAAAAGGGGGAAAATTGATAGGAATATTTTTGTAAGTTTTGATGAGCCAAATGTACTATAGATCCCCTTAGTTTTTAGATCTCTAGTACAAGCATCATAAATCAGAGTATCGAGTCAAAGGAAATCTACCATATGAAGAACAAAATTAATTTGGAAAATTAATTTTGGTCCTACAAGTATTCATCCGAGAAAAGAAGCATAAATGAATGGCGTTACAACAAATAACTGGATGAGCCTAATGGTGAAATGGTAGATGTCCTTATATAAAACGATTATACCCAAGATTGATTCCCCCCAAGGACTTATTTTTTACAAGTCAAGAATTCGGACAAGCACAATGTTCTTAAGGAGCACGATGTGTACAAGCAAGATGTGCCCAAGGAGCACAATGTTCCTAAAGAGCACAATGTCTGAAAGGAGCACGATGTGTCAAAAGAAGCACAATGTGAACAAATACGATGTGTCTAAAGGGGCACAATGTGACCAAATCAGAAAAGCACAATGTTCAAGTCAACAAGCAAGAAGTGCCTAAGTCAAAGGAGCACAATGTGGCAAAGAAGCAAGATGATCTGAAAATGGATAAATTCGAAGGAATTTATTTTGAATCAGCCCACATGTCACCAAAATCCAAAATTGCCTGAAGATATTGATCAGAACGGAAAAATATTTATGAAGACGTGAATATAAAAACTTATCCTAGAAATAAATCCTATCAGAAGGATTTATTTCAAAGATTCGTTGGAAATTCAAATTGACAACAAAAATAATATTTTAAGAAACAACTTGAAAATCAAGTTGAGATAAAATATTATTTTGTCAGGCAAGTTGACAATCAAATCAAAATTGAAGATATACCGTTGTCAACAATATCAGGCTATGAAGATTCAAATTTCAAATATCAAATTATCCCACTCCAACGGATATATTTGGTTATCTATAAAAAGGCCATGAAGACTTGAAGAAAGCATAGAGGTGAATACAAAAAAGGAGACGTGAATACACACGAGAAAAACAAGTGCAAGTGCTCAAATATTCATTAGAGACTTAGTCTGAATAGTCTCAAAAATAGTTGGAGAGAGATACAATTACCTTTGTATTTGTAATTGTTAGAAGAGTATAGCTGTGTGCGAAATACTCTAGTGAGTGTAGCTGTGTGCAAAACACTCGGAGTTGCTAAGTGTAGCTGTGTGCAAAACACTTGGTTGGCGTTGAGTATAGCTGTGTGCGAAATACTCGAAGTTGAGTGTAGCTGTGTGCAACACACTCGGAGTTGGGTGTAGTTGTGTGCAAAACATCCGGAAGAAGTGCTTGTGTAGCGCTTATTCACTATTGTAACTGTGTGTGGAAAATAGTGAATTACTCCTAGAAGTGAATGGAGTAAAGTGGACTAGGAAGATTACGCCACTTTCGAACCACTATAAAAAGCCTCTCTCATTTACATACCGCACTTACATAATTCGCTCTATTTATCTATCTTATCCGACTAACCCGTTTACTATTCATAGTTTATCTTAATCTTTCGGGTTTAGCATGTTTTCACGTATGCATGTAACTCAAACTTTCCATGCTTAACATTTGAATTATTCTAAGCAAGTTTGACGTGTTGCATGTAACATTTATCACACGATCGACGTGACACGAAAATCTTATCTATAGTCTTGAATATTATTGTTAAATATTGAGTGAACCTTCTCCTTTAAATATTCAAGATATTCATGTCATCCTTACACCTCATCTGAGCATTAATTCCACACGTGCATGTGATTTAAATTACTGGTTGCGCATAACTCTTTACACCTATTTATTCCGCTGTGCATTTCACTTTAATTACTTCTCTATTTACTTGTTACTTAGAGTTGAAATTACCAAAGAGTTATTTATTGTGAAAAAGTTTAAAAAGTCTATTCACCCCCCCCCCCCCCTCTCTAGACTTTTTACCACCCTATCGGGACCAACACAACATTATTAGAAAACTAAGCTCAAGAAAGAGCAAATATGCAGAAAAAGGTATGAGGAAATCTGATTGTTCTCATTCAGAAAGCCCTGGTGAGCCTTCATCGAATGAAAGCTCTGATAGCTCGATAGACTGGCCAAATCAGAGGCAAGTCTCAAATCCTAGATTGGCAGATATGGTGGAGGAGGAGAGTGGAAAGAAGAGTATGGAGGGACAAGTTGAAGAGAAAGCTCCAATGGAAGTTGGCCCTGAGAAGCCTATTTCTGCTAAGGAAGACATTGAACCGAAACAGAGTCGTACAAATATTAAGTCCGGGGCTGAGCATAGATCATTTGTGGTTAATAAGGAGGCATGGGAAGAAGCTAAACATGAGATATTTGTACACATGTCAAAAATAAAGAAGGAGATGGGGTTGCAAGAATTTGAGAGAAGAAAAGGGGAAATAGTGGAAAAAACAATGATTTTATACTTAGATAAGCTTAAAGACCTATCAAAATTTAGGGAGGCTAGACTAAATTGATGTAAATAGAAAAGAAAACAAAATAGAAGGGAGGTTGGAAGGGTGGTGTAAGGAGGGCCACTTATTTAGGTGGTCTTAAATTGCTTTTAGAAGATCTGCACCCTGGAACTCTGATGTTGAGCGAGATTAAGAAGCTTTTGCAGAAGCAAGTGAAGGGATGCTTCTATTCTGGGATGCCCCTCTCTGCTAGACACTTGAAGAAATTCAGAATTGATGCAGCTGCTTGTGGCAGTGATCTGAAGCTGGAACCAGTGGAGGATTCTGCTACATTCTGTAATCATGAAGATGGTGCTGCAGGTTGAAAGTCTAACTGTGCAGCTGTAATGTAATGCATAGATCTCTGCATTTGATAGACATAAAATCAAGAGGAATGCAAACTGGTGACCTGACTCTCTGATTGATCCCATGTTTGAGATTCTGGAATAAGAAGTGGACTTGACTATTATCTGAGTAGAAGCTTATGGTCTTGGATTATCTGAGTGGGCTGTTGTGGCTTACTTATTATGGAGTCTAGCTGCAGGGGTCCCTAAAGCTTTTAGTGGAAGGCACTCCTGCCATGGGGTGGATTCCACAATGGAAAATGATACCTCATGTCTAGAAGATTTTCTGATTCTATTGATGCAGCAACTAGGACCCTTATGATATAGAACTGGTTTGGGGCGGTTGGGAATTAATTCTGTCATGACTTGGGCAGAATCTCTATGGGCAGTGAGTTATAGAGCTTGATAGAGCTGGCTGTGATGTGATCTAGAATGGAGGGAAAGGAGGGTTCACCTAGATGGGTGGACCATTGTGGAATTATGAGAACATGTAAGAGGGATATTTGTAAGGAGGAATAAGGAGGGTTCATCTTGATGGGTGGACCCTTGTGCTTGGTTATGACCAAAGGCCAATTGGCCTTGTTGTGTTTATAGTTGTAAAGCCTTTTAAAGGCTTTGTAGATTTAGGCTCTTTAGTCTTGTGGTTTTGTAAGGCCATATGGCTCTTTGTCATTTAGGCCATCTTTGGCCCTTAGTTTGTAAGGCTTTGCCTCTTATAATTTCAAGCCATAGGTCACTTTTGGACCTATGGCGTCTCTTGTAAGGCTATATGCCCTTTTGGTGTGGAATGTAGTTCTTGATTCTTAAAAAAAAAAAAAAAAAAAAAAAAAAAAAAAAAAAAAAAAAAAAACTATCGATTCATGATCCTAGAAAGTATGAGAGTGGGATAGAATAATAGCCACAATAAATCATAATTTACAACAATATTCGGTTTTTCTTTCTTTAATATTTTATTTTCTTAAAAAAAATCTAATTAGTTAAGAGTATCACTAATTGGTTTTTGGAAGGATTTTTTGTTTTGATGGAGGAGAGAGAGACTTACTTAGAGGTGAGAGAAGCAAGGGAAGAGAGGAAAAATTGCATGATGGAAGTTTTTTTGTAGGCCCCATGGAAAAAGAAAAAGAAAAGGAAATGTCGGGTTGGTGCCGTTATGCTCACCAATTGTACCCGGTGGCGGTGTAAAACTTTTTCTTTTTGATAACCCTTTTCTAAGGCAAATTATATCGTTCACCGCGGTGCATAATCGATTATGCACCGCGCATCAAAACGACGTCGTTTTATTTAATGAAAATAAACAGAATTTTCGCAAAAAATAACTCTGTTCTTCAGTTTTATTTTGTATACATTGCAGTTTCAGTTCAACACAACTACAGTTTCATTTCGATATAACTAAAGTTTCATTCAATATTTATACACTCAAATATGTGTAAATATTATTTAATTTTATTTTATATACACTATAGTTTCACTAAAACACAACTACATGATCATTTCAATATAATTATAGCTTCATTGTACAATATACACTCAAATATGTGAAATGTTATTCAGTTTTATTTTATATATACTGTAGTTTCATTTCACCACAACTACAGTATCATTTTGATATAACTGCAGTTTCATTTGATAATATAAAAATAATACGTGAGACAGTGTCAGTTTAGACACACTTAGTGTCACTCCGTTATAACTACAGAAACGACACCGTTTAACGCGCGGTGCACGATATAACGACTGCTTTTCTAACCCTATTAGGACTCTGTATTTGAGTCTATTTAGAACTCCTTATCCTTGTCACACTGTGACTCTCTACTTCTTATCCTTGTCACACTGTGACTCTCTATTGTATATATTCACATCATCTGATCTCATTGTAATTATGTTCAGTTAATACAATACAATCAGTTCTCATCTGGTATCAGTTAGCTAGGGTTCCAAAAAAAAAAAAAAAAAACACAATTCGGTGATTTCTGAAAACATTACCATTATCTTTCAAAAATAATGGTTAATTAGAAACACTTGAGGGGTTGTAGACGTCACACAAACCCAAGCAAGAAAACAAAATATTCATCCCCACAACAGCTCGTCCCTCTGATCTCCGAAACCTCGTCCATGATCTCTTCAAAGAAGTCGTCTTCGCCGCCGTCCAGCTTAGGATTCATGGGTTGTGGTAATCCGCATCAAGCTCAGCAGCATGGCAGACGTGGTTATGATGATCCATGTCAAATTTGTAAACGTTTTGGTCACACAGGGGTCAATTGTTTTTGGCGCTATGATGATCCGTGTCAAATTTGTAAACGTTTTGGTCACACGGGAGTCAATTGTTTTTGGCGCTATGATGATCCATGTCAAATTTGTAAACGTTTTGGTCACACGGGAGCCAATTGTTTTCGGCGTTATAATGATCCGTGTCAAATTTGTAAAAGTTTCGGTCACACGGGAATCAACTGTTTTCGGCGATATTCAGGGGCTCCGGGTTCTCAGGCTAATTTGGTGTTTCAGAATGGTTTAGTTGCTAAAACCTCGTCAAATTCTCATACTTGGGTTCCGGACACTGGAGCCACAAATCATGCAACTCCAAACATCGCTGCCCTTTCTACATCGAAGAAGTACACTGGTAATGACACTTTACGTGTCGGTGACGGTATGGGTTTATCTATTAGTCATGTTGGTCATGCCTCTTTTAATACCCCTTCTAGATCATTTACATTGTCTGATATACTTCACGTTCCACGTTTGTCTAATTCTTTATTATTTGTTCAGAAGTTTGCATCCGATAATAAAGTCTTTTTTTTGAGTTTCACCCCTCCTTTTTGTTGTGAAGGATATCAATACCAAGGAAATACTTCTTCGGGGCAATTGTTCGGGGGGACTATACACACTTTCATTACCTAGTTCGTCTCCGTCAGCGTTTCTTTCCGCTCGTGCCTCGGCTTCCACTTGGCACAATCATCTGGGTCATCCTCATAACCGTGTTCTTAGCCATATACTTCGTTCTTGTTTGGTTAGTGGGTCTCGTGATAATATTCGTTGTCATAATTCTTTATGCAATGCATGTCAATTAGGCAAATCTGCCCGTTTTCCCCTCCCTCGTGTTGCTTCCTCTAGTTCTCAAGTCCTAGATCTTATTCACACAGACATTTGGGGTCCTGCGCCCACTTTATCTACTTCTGGCTTCCCTTATTTTGTGATCTTTGTGGATGACTATTCCGTTATACATGTTTCTTCCCTATGAAATTAAAGTCTGATCTTTATGCCATCTTTGATAAATTTCGTACTCTTGTTGAACGGCCCTTTAATTGCAAAATAAAGGCCATTCAGTCTGATTTAGGTGCTGAGTACAAGAAATTGCATTCTTCGTTTGTTCAATTAGGAATTCAACATAGACAATCCTGTGCCTATACACATGAACAAAATGGTCGTGTTGAACGAAAACATCGTCACATTGTTGAAACTGGTCTGGCTCTTCTAGCTCATGCCTCTGTTCCTTTGAAATTTTGGGATTTTGCCTTTGAGACTGCTGTCTATTTAATTAACAGAATGCCATCTTCTGTATTAAATAACTCCAGTCCTCATCTCCTGTTACATAAATCCCCTCCTTCCTATCTTTTCCTTCGTGTCTTTGGGTGTTTATGCTATCCTCATCTTCGACCATATAATCGTCATAAGATGTCATACAGGTCTTCTCCATGTGTCTTCCTAGGTTATCCTGAGTCCTTTAGGGGGTACAGATGCATGGACTTACATACTAATAAGATTTACACATGCAGGCATGTCAGATTTGATGAAGAAGTTTTCCCCTTTGCTACTAAAACTTCTTTGCAGGATCTATCTACTCTGTTTTCTGGACCTTGGGCGGAATCTGTTCTAAGTCATAGCACACATATTCCTGCCGTGTCCAATGATGAGCCGCCAGAACCGCCGCTACCAGCTTCATTCGAACCAGCCGTGGATCCCGGACAGGCTGCCTCGTCAGGTGATCCTGTGGAGCCCGTTGCTCGCCGGCGAGGCCGTCCACGTGAGCGGTCCATCAGGCCCAATGTCCGTGCTCACTCTATGGCCACTCGCAGCAACGCAGATGCTCCTCTTTTTGCTCTAGCAGCTCAGGTGCTTCCCACGGAACCCACATGTCACTCTCAAGCTGTCAAATATCCTGAGTGGCGTGAAGCCATGGACCAAGAATTCAATGCTCTCCTGCATAACAACACATGGCCAGGCTGGTGGGTGGGTGTTTCTTATTATTGGCTGTAAATGGGTGTTTCTTACGAAAAGAAAGGCTGATGGTACTATTGAAAGGCATAAAGCCGGACTGGTTGCGAAAGGTTTTAATCAGGTTCCAGGCCAGGACTTCTTCGACACATTTAGTCCAGTGGTAAAGCCTACGACTGTAAGACTCCTTCTATCTCTAGCTTTATCATCTGGGTGGTCTATCAAACAGCTAGATGTTCATAATGTTTTTCCGAATGGTAATCTGGCTGAAACAGTTTATATGAAGCAACCCCCTGGTTATATTGATGCTAACTTCCCGAATCATGTTTGTTTGTTAAAAAAATCTCTGTATGGGTTAAAACAAGCTCCCAGAGCCTGGTTTAATCGACTACATACGTTCTTACTATCAGTTGGCTTTCAAGCGTCCAAGACAGATGTCTCTCTGTTCTATTACTCTAAAGACTCTGCTTTGGTTTATCTATTGGTATACGTGGATGACATTCTTGTAATGGGAAGTGATCAGGGTATTATGTCTCAGCTCTTGTCCAAATTGTCTACTACATTCAAAATCAGAGATCTTGGTGAACCAAATTTCTTTCTGGGTATTGAAACAGTTAAGAGTGACAATGGGATTATTTTATCTCAACAACGGTATATGAATGATATTTTAAAACGGGCTGGAATGTCTGAATGCGAACCCCTTTCTACACCTATCTCTGTCTCGAAAACTGTCCCCTCCAATTCAGATTTATATGATGATCCCAAACAGTATAGGAGTCTAGCTGGAGCACTGCAATATCTCACTGTCACACGACCTGACCTATCCTTTGCAGTTAATCAGTTATGCCAGCATATGCATGCTCCAACCATGTCACAGAGCAGCTCAAACGGGTACTCAGGTATGTTAAGGGAACAGTTGATCATGGTTTAGGCATACGACGGTGCTCATTTAGAGACATTCATGCCTTCTCTGATCTGATTGGGCTGGTTGTCCTGAGTATCGAAAATCCACGAGTGGTTTTGCTGTTTTCTTGGGGAGTAATCTTATATCCTGGGTTTGCAAGAAACAGAGAACTGTTGCCAGGTCATCCACTGAGGCTGAATACAAAGCGCTTGCAGATGTTTGTGCTGAGGTTCTATGGATTATGTCATTACTGCGTGAGATACAGATTCCGGGTATTTCCATTCCACAATTATTGTGTGATAATCTAGGAGCTACATATATGAGTGCCAACCCAATCTTTCATGCGCGCACCAAGCATGTGGAGATTGATTATCATTTTGTTCGTGATCGAGTAGCTTCGGGTGATATCCAAGTCAACTTCATCTCCACAAAGGATCAACTTGCTGATATCTTCACCAAAGCTTTGTCTGGACCTAGATTTTCTTCCCTAAGGGACAAGCTACAGGTTACTAGTATACACTGTGCTTGAGGGGGAGTATTAGGACTCTGTATTTGAGTCTATTTAGAACTCCTTATCCTTGTCACACTGTGACTCTCTACTTCTTATCCTTGTCACACTGTGACTCTATATTGTATATATTCACATCATCTGATCTCATTGTAATTATGTTCCGTTAATACAATACAATCAGTTCTCATCATCCCCTCCCTCTGTTTTTACTCTTTTACTCCCTCTGCTCTCTCCTTTTATGTGGCTTGACAAAAACATATAAAAATAAATAAACTCTAATTGATGAGGATCTAGTAAGACAAATTTATAAGTTACTTTTCTATCATAGCAGAAGATTTCTTTTGCCTTTTCGTGGTAATATTCCTGTGCAGTGGATTCTTTGTACGAAGAGTTTATGAGTTTGCACTTGAATGGAAATTAAAAATTGTAAACATTCCAAAACGACGGAACGGTGTTAGTTGGTTGTTAGATGTAGTGAGGCGGTTAAAGTTAGTTGGAAGTTGCTGAAAATTACAGGAATGCCACCGGCAGAAGCTGTAACCAGAATGGAGTATTATAACTACAGTTTTGATACAATTTTGCTACAGTTCAGTGAAAATCTATTGAAATTCACCCTACAAAGGAAAGGTAAATAGTGTAATCAAAGAAGCATTAAGGAGGTTAATTGCTACACAAACTTAAAGTTGTCTATCTCCCTACAAAATTCTCTCTGATCGAATTTATCTTTCTGCTTCTGCAACTCTATACTCATATCCCTATCCATTTCGCTTCCATTTCCTTCATAAAAATGGTCATATCAGGTGCCACGGGTTCATTCTCCTTAGTTCCTTCAGGTTGTGGGGAGTCTGGTTTTGGGTTTTCTTCTACTTGCTTTGCCAACGAACTCTCAGATTTCGGCCGGTACATGTTTGCAGACTTTTCTTCTCTTCTCGTAAAGAAAGGAATCCCAAATTTCATGCTGCTTTGTCTTCTGTGGCCCTCTTCTTTTTTCTTCTCAGATGGAGTCTTTGGTATCCCGGGCGTTGTGTTTTCTTCTGTGGGGCTCTGCTCAATGTTTTTGTCCGAAGGACCCTCAGATATTTGGAGGGTTTTTGCAGGTTTTTCCTCGATTTTCTTCTCTAAATGAGTCTCAGGTTTTAGGGTGTTTTCTTCCGCCATGGGCTTCTCTTCTGTTTTCTTCTCAGATGAAGTCTTTGAGGTCGATGTGTTTTCTTTTGTGGGCTTCTGTTGAACATTTTTCTCCGAAGAGTCTTTAGATTTTAGGGAGTTTTCATCTGTGGGCTTCTCTTCTGTTTTCTTCTCAGATGAAGTCTTTGAGGTCGATGTGTTTTCTTTTGTGGGCTTAAGTTGAACATTTTTCTCCGAAGAATCTTTAGATTTTAGGGAGTTTTCATCCGTGGGCTTCTCTTCTGTTTTCTTCTCAGATGAAGTCTTTGAGGCCAATGTGTTTTCTTTTGTGGGCTTCTGTTGAATATTTTTCTCAGAAGTTTCTTCAGATTTTAGGGAGTTTTCTGCAGGTTTATCCTCGAGTTTCTTCTGTAAAAGAGTCTGAGCTGGTTTTAGGGTGTTCTCTTTCGTGAGCTTCTCTTCTGTTTTCTTCTCAGATGAAGTCGTTGATATGGACGTGTTTTCTTTTGTGGGCTTCTGTTGAATATTTTTCTCAGAAGTTTCTTCAGATTTTAGGGAGTTTTCTCCAGGTTTATCCTCAATTTTCTTCTCTAAAAGAGTCTGAGCTGGTTTTAGGGTGTTCTCTTTCGTGAGCTTCTCTTCTGTTTTCTTCTCAAATGAAGTCTTTGATATCGATGTGTTTTCTTTTGTGGGCTTCTGTTGAATATTTTTCTCTGAAGAATCTTCAGATTTTAGGGAGTTTTCTGCAGGTTTAACCTTGATTTTCTTCTCTGGAAGAGTCTCAGCTTGTTTTGGAGTGTTCTCTTTCGTGGGCTTCTCAGATGAAGTCTTTGATATCGGTGTGTTTTCTTGTGTGGGCTTCTGTTGAATACTTTTCTCCGAAGAATCTTCAGATTTTAGGGAGTTTTCTGCAGGTTTATCCTCGATTTTCTTATCTGAAAGAGTCTCAACTGGTTTTAGGGTGTTCTCTTTCGTGGGCTTCCCTTCTGTTGTCTTCTCAGATGAAGTCTTTGATATCGATGTGTTTTCTTTTGTGGGCTTCTGTTGAATATTTTTCTCCGAAGAATCTTCAGATTTTAGGGAGTTTTCTACAGGTTTATCCTCGATTTTCTTCTCTGAAAGAGTGTCAGCTGGTTTTGGGGTGTTCTCTTTCGTGGGCTTCTCTTCTGTTTTCTTCTCAGATGATGTCTTTGATATCGGTGTGTTTTCTTTTGTGGGCTTCTGTTGAATATTTTTCTCCATAGAATGTTCAGATTTTAGGGATTTTTCTGCAAGGATTTTCTTAATTAAAAGAGTCTCAGCTGGTTTTAGGGGGGTGTTTAGTTCTGCAGGCTTCTCTTCTATTTTCTTCTCAACTTTCAGGGTGTTTTCTTGGACAGGCTTTTGTTCTGTTTTCTTAAATGAGAGTGGAGCAGGAGGTACCGTTTCATCAATTTTCTTCTCCAAAAGAGTCTCAGCTTTCAAGGTGTTTTGTTTTGATTGATCCTCTTCCGTTTTCTTCTCAGAAGTCTCAGTTTTTGGGATATTTTCTTCAGCAGACTTTTGTTCTGTTTTCTTGTCGGATGGAGGCTCCAATTTCAAGGAATTTTCAGCAACCTTCACCTCAATTTTCTTATCTAAAAGAGTTTCAGATTTCAAGCTGTTGATGCTGTCTTTTTCTGCAGGCTTCTCTTCTGTTTTCGCCTCAAAAGTCTGAGTTTTCGTGGTGGTTTCTTCTACGGTTTTCTTATCCTCCTCAAATTTCTTCTCTAACTCTTTCTTTTCTACTTTTTCCTCAGAAGAGATCTCTGGTTTTGAGTTGTTTTGTTGTGTAGGCTTATCCAAAGGAGGAGGTTTCTGGGTTTTTTCTTCAAGCTTTTCCTCAATTTTCTTCTCTAAAAGAATCATCCCAGCAGGTTTCAGTATGTTTTCTTCTGCAGGCTTCTCAGAAGGTTTTGGAGTGTCTTCTTTTATGGGGTTTTGTTCCGTTGTCTTCTTCTTCCCCGGAGGAGTTTCAGATATCAAGGGTTTTTGTTCATGCTTGCCATTAATTGTCTTCTCTAAACGATTCTGGGGTAGGAGGGTTATTTCTTCTGCAGATTTCTCTCCTGTTTTATTGCTGAAGTGAGGCTCATATTTCTGGGTTTTGTCTGCAAGACTTTGATCCTCTTTCTTCCAAGAAAGAATTTGAGATTTCGAGATGTCTCTTCCGAACTTGTCATACGTTGATGATGGTGAAACTGTTTGAGATTTGGTGAAGTTTCTTCTTGCAGACTTGTCATATGTTGGGGAGTTCCTCTCCGAAAGAGTCTGAGATTTGGTGATGGTTCTTATTGCAGGCATCTCATATGCTGGCGTTTTCATCTCCGAAAGATTCTGAGATTTGGTGATGTTTCTTGTTGCAGGCATGTCATATGATGTTGGCGTTGTCCTCACCGAAAGTGTTGAGGTGTTTCTTGCAGGCATGTCATATGTTGTTGATGGTTTAACTTCTGGCTTCTCCATTTTTGATCCTAAATCTTGTGCCACTTCAGTAGGAGAATGGGGATTTTCAGGCTGGGCCACTACTGTCTGGTCCTTGTTAGATTTAATTAGCTTTTCAATTTCTTGAGACTTGGATTTTGATATCGATGTTGCAGACAATTCTTCTTTCGCCTCTTCTTTGTTCTGTTCATGGAATAATGCAATCTCTTACACAAATAATTATATTATTCGGGAACGGAACAAGACCAGGAGGAGGAGGGATATTCTTATTTCTGTCCCCATCCCGATAGAGAATTACATACATTATCCTGTTTTTTCAATTTCCATTCTCATTAGAATGGAAGTTGAGAATCCCACGGAGGAATGGGACAAATTACCATTTCTAATCACAGGATAGAATTACTTTGTATATATATAATGAAATGCATGCATGAATAAATTGTTGTATGTATAGTACCTCTGAGTGGGTGCTGAATGAACGGTGTCTGGAACCGTCGCCAGCCTCCCTCCTGGACGACGCCTTTTTGACAGCCTCCTTGAACTTTTTGCTGAGTGAACGGCGTTTGCTGGTGGCGTTATTATCATCATCTCCGGCCACGAATCCTCCCTCCATCTTCGCCGACGCCTTTTTTGCAAGTTTCTTAATCTTCGAGGTGGTCTTGTCTCTCTTCCGCGGCAATGGCGGCATCGAAGAGTTCGCATCGTCGTCATGCAACACATTCGGAGTGGACGCACACCCTCCCATTTTTTTTTTTGGTTTAATAATATAATTTACTCCAAATTAATTACTTTTATAAAAATTAATTATATTGTTTAATTTGGATGCATATGCTATTGTTGTGATACAGATAGAAAGATTTTATGGTGGAAAGAGAGGGTTCTTGGATCAACTGTCCTGGCCTTTTGGGGAAGACGTACGGGACAGAGGATGGGGTGGAGGGTGGCGCCAATGACATGAAAAAGGGTGGGGGAAGAAGGGTGCCTGAGTTATATAGACAAAGGCCGTGGAAAGAAGAAAGAATGTGGTGTTCCGAGAAATGTTCTCATATGTGGCCGGCCGGGGATTCAAGAATTCACGGGTCAGGGATTTTGCCTTTTTGCCTCCAAAGAATTTCAAGAATTCGATCTACAAGTAATTCTAAATGCGGAGGAAAATGGTACATTTAAATTTGATTTGTTTAATTAATATTTATTATTGACCATTGACATAAAAGTTAAATAGACTCTCGAAAGTATCAATACCTTTTGGATAGGGTTGTCAAAGTGGGCTGGGTCGCTCCATTAGGCCCATCCCACCGCGGGTCTAATGTTTCACGGGCTTTTGCGGGTCGGTCCGTGGACTAAGAATCGTGTGACCCTAACTCGCCTCACACGGGTTGGCAGGCTCTGCAAGTCGACTCGCGGGCTGACACTTTTTTTTTTTCTAAAAGAATTTTAAAAACTTGTCCAAGCAATGAACCTCAACATCTTCCTATTCTCTTGATTAATAAAAGCAAAGGCATGGAAGAAAATTTTAATATTTCTTTTTCAAAATATGTGTTGCACTTGGTTTTATCTTCATTAAATATTCTTCACTTTTACAATTGTTGGTTTTACGGCCTTGGGTAGCCATTCGGCGAGCCAACACTACTGTAAAGTATCAGGGTTTGGGATGGAATAAAGAGATGCCGAGAGCGAGACAGAGTAACGGGATGTTATTATGGAGAAAATTCCGACCCCTATACATGATGACCTCGTGCGAGTATTTATACAATGAGATAAATTCCCTACAACATAAGTAGGTCAAAAAGGTGTAGCCGAATCAGCTATAGAATCTACCATAATTAATGCGTTAATTACTTAAACTGAAAAAAGAATCTACTTGTTGGGCGTGCACTCGGTCGGTGACGCACCGACTGCCTGGCTTGGTAGCCCGGCTAGGGAGGCTAAGTCACCTAGACAAGGACACTCCGACCACCGAGCCTGGTCGTTCATCCGAACTCTCCAGAAGCTCAGTCAGGGATGCACCGACTACCGAGCCTAGTCGCATATCTGAGCCAACCAGGTACCATGACCGTAAGCATACCCGCTTGGCGGACTGGTGTCCTGGGTACTTCGCGTTGCGGGGACAACGAGAGAAGCCATTTCTCGTGAATCGCCAAGTGTTATGCCGTACTCGAGTCTGACTGCCTATTCATACTCTCCAAGCTGAGTGCCCGATTTGAGGTATCTATCACCAGTCTCTCACTTTTTTGGGTTTAGCGGAGCGATGACCCAAAAAAGTAGAAAAATAACAAAGGGTGTAGTGGGAAAGCCTGACTGCCTTGATGTCGTTTTCTTCAAGGCACGCTGGTGCTCAGCCGAGGGCATGCTCTCCTACTGAATGATCCCGCTTTTGTCTCGATTGATCCTGCGAAGTGGTACGGTCGCTGACATGTAATTATGACAACTCCTCGAATCTTTCCGGTTACAGTCTCGGGGAGCGTTTTCCCGTAACCGTTTTGTCAGATGTTACGTCTGTTCCCTAACCGTTTAATTGAGGACACGTGGCGCGATATGGACAGCCGACCAAATCTATAAATACCTAAGTCATTCATCCCTTCACTTCTTCCGCACCTCTCTTCTTTCATCTCCCAAATCCTCTAGCGATTATCCTCCATTCCGCAGCCCTTTACTCCCTTTTTCCGGCGGCCGGCGTTCTTGCTTTTCCGAGTCAGTTCCACCACTTCCCCCGGCCGTCGTCCTTTAAGGTTAGCCCTATTTGATTTCTTTTCGTCTTCCACCATGTCCTCATCTCAACTAGCCGGCGTTCTTGCTTTTCCGAGTCAGTTCCACCGCTTCCCCCGGCCGTCGTCCTTTAAGGTTAGCCCTCTTTGTCGTCCTTCCTTTAATTTCTTTTCGTCTTCCACCATGTCCTCATCTCAACTACCTTCATCTTTCTCCACCGGTGATCATCAAGGTCAGACCGCTAACCCTCCGGCCACCACCACTCAACCGACGGCGGCCCATGGTGTGACAACCCAAAATTCATTTTCTTAAATTCTACTTTATAAAATTTCAAAATAATTATTTTTACTCATCCGAAAATTCTTCCAAAATAGGTGTATGAATTAAATATTCACTACAAGAAAAATCACGAATCGCGACGGAATTTTTTCGTCGCGAATCGCGTTTTGCGACGGAATTTATTCCGTCGTCTATCACCTTGTCGTATTTTGATAGACGACGGAATAGTTCCGTCGCAAAATTAGGCGACGGAATAGTTCCGTCGCCATTTTTCAACGGAATTTTTCCGTCGCAATTCGGTCGCAATTTTCGCAACGGAAATGTTTCCGACGTTAATTCCGTCGCTATTTTTGAACTGAATATTTCGTCGCCATATTATCTTTTCCGTCGCACAAAAAAAAATGACGGAATTTTTTTTCGTCGCGAATCTTATATTTTGTCGCAATTTCGTCACGCTTTTTGAATTATTTTGAAATAAAATTGTGATTTTTAAATAGTAATGAATGTTTTTAAAATATTAATATAAAAAAAAACTATTAATTCTGAAATAAAATATGACATAATTCTACATTAAGTTCAAGTAATTATACATTATCAATCCACATTTAATACATAATAATAGTCAATTCAAGTCTAAACAACATTGTAATAGTATTCACAAACAACTATTAAAATCAATTGATTTGAGATGGAGGTGATGATGAAGTACTCGCTCCCCCGCCATCAATAGCATCAAGTCGTTGTTGCATAAGGAGAATTGTAGCCTTCAAATTCTGAATTTCATCTTGTACATTGGCAGAAGTAGCATTGTCAGATGGTCGCGATGTTGGGGTCATATTGTCAGAAGTGTTATCATTAGTTGGACCATTAACAACAAAACAACCATATGCAAGTCCATAAATTCTTCTTTTTCTTGTCGTGCCACCAACCGCGTCATAGTATAATTGATTATCATGTACTTGCTCACATTTTCTGTCAACATCTCCCGTTGCGATGCAACTTGTTCCTAAAATATGTAAGAAATTTATACAGAATATATGTAAAGTTATATATATATTTAAAAAAAACTTAAAATAAATTAAACTTACATGAATTTGTTTGACTTTTTCAGTTATGAATGTTTGCCCATCGTGTTGTTTGGTATGTGTATACTTGAACAGTTCATAATACGATGGACAATGACCCAATTGCCCTTCCTACAAATTATATTTAACAAACAAAAGCAATTTTTAAAGAAAATGTAAGAAAAAAATTCGGCAGAATAACCTTTATAAATAAGACTCTCTCCCTGTTCAATATATAATACAATTCAATTATATATAGTCTCAAACATCAATCAATAAACACAATAAAACACAATCACAATAAAAAAAAAAAAAAAAAAAACATAAAAAGCTGTCACTAAAAGTAAAGAATTTCATCAAACATCTAGGACCAAAATACCAACAATCAACAGTTTGCAAGAATCGAATAACAATGTCAACCAAATCCTAGCAAGACATCAAGCAGAAAGCTTAGAATTATCTCTAAATGCTAATATAAATTATAGGGCTTTATTAATAACCATTGCTTGATCTTAACCAATGGAATGGACTAGATTCCTAGAGATGATAGTATGGACTATTATCTTTCCAAGCAAAATGCTCTATAGTACTATTGCGTGACATTTCTCCATGTCTATTCCACTCAAAGTGCTTACTACATGCAAACTCAATAAATGTTTCCAATCCTACGATAAAATCTTGATTAAGATCACCACGTTGAGTTCATCTTTGATATATCCAACTTCTATCCATATTACTCATTTATAGATGCCTATATATTTACATTCACATATATTATCATGATTTTCAAAGTATGTAATGTATAATAAAAGGAAAATGGAATCAAGAAAGTTCTCTATATAAGCTAAGACAACTCATTTAAATAAATAACTGAATGGACCATCAACTAAAGCATACAATTTTGATTTAAATAGACATAAACAACTCTGTAATTTGCATGTGTCGTAACAACTAATCATAATGTTCATCACTACTTAAGTCAAAAGAAACAAAAAACAAAATCAAATGTAATGAAGTTCAGAATATGATAGTTTCACCTCCAATAAATTTAGGATTCTATAATTTCATTTTACTATTATTGAACTTTGATATACTGTCTTATTTATTTATTTTATATGCTAATGATTTTCAGTTTTCCATCATAAGCTTCTCTATTAGAATCTTGATAGAAAATGGGATAAGTTAGCTTCATTATAATGGGGAAGGAAACTCATTCTTAATGACTTGGGGGTTGTTGAGATTATTACATCAAAGGTGGTGTAGCCTTATAATGCAATTTGGAGCTGAGCAAGTGTACTTAGAGCTGAGCAATTAATTAGTAATAAATGAACAACATCAATTTCTTCATTAAATTATGACATTCATTTCAATTAGATCCCAATCCCAAATTCCCAATTTAATAACACATGAACAAGAGCAATTTTGATATTTAGTAATGTTGTAAATATTTATATTTATGGCCATTAAACTATTTAGACCTTTCACTTGCTTATCATTTAATCATGTATTGATGTTGTGTACTTGAAAGGTTGTATATGACCACTATATACAGTGAGTGAAGATGAATGAAAGGGACACACTTACATGATGGTTATACTATAACTTGGTGTTCTTCTTCTCCTCTTTTTTCTTCTCTTTACATATACAAACATACATACATATATATACGCAATTCCGGGTGTATAACTGTGCAAGCATCACGCGGGGACTAACGAGTGAATAGGCCAAAACTTAACACGTTATCAGCACGCTCAACCTCGGTGAACGGTATGTTTATTTTATAATTAACATTCATAACTGTTAAAATTGCAACAAATTGCATATTTACATTCTGAAATCCTGTTGATTTGAAGTATATGCTTACAAATATATATGCAATTTATATTTTCGATCTTATGAATGTTTGTATACATACGGTGATTTAAACATGTGAATATTTGTTGTTCATTCTATGTATATACATATTTGCAAGCCATCATTCTATCTATCTTATGAATTTTTGTATAATGCCATGATATAAAAATATGAATTACATATATTGGTTCGTATGTATATGTGCTTGAGAATTCCTGAATATGGATTTCTAATTTGTTTTGCTTTTGCGGAAAAATGCAATTTTGCTTCTGTGTGTATGTATTGTTTGCCCAGCACCTATATTCAGAATGTTTTTGTTGTCTTGCTTAGTCCCATTAATTCGACAAAAAGATCATAGTACAGGAGTATATTCAGAATGGTTTTATTTGCATGTGATGTTGTTTTTGCTTTTTGAAGTATTCAAAATTCCTTTTTTTTTAATTCAAATAAAAGTATGAAGATGTAATGTATGTTCACAATGTTTTGGTAAAGCGTAATGATTAAGCACTAATTTGGCATTAAGTTGGCACCATTGCTCTAATGAGCACTAATTCAATACGGAAGGTGAATAATGTCAAAACTTGTGTGCTAAATCATTACAGTAACTAAGGTTGATGGTACTAAGTTGTTAAATTCATGGATGTTGTTACTAATTTACGTCCTGTAACAAAATGATTGATCATGATTATTTTGTAATCTATTACCGCAATATGAGCATGTTACTAGTAAGGTTGCTATGCTTCAATTTTTTTTTTCTTGTTTAAATATGAAAGTTTCCCTCTTGCGTGAATCCGAAAGGATAATCTGTTATGTAGAAAAGCTTAATATTGTATATGTACATATGGTTTGTATAAATGCCTTGAAATTCTTGAATAAGGAAATCTCAAATCTTTGTCTTTGCGGAAGAAATTGGCGTACTACATATTTGGTTTATAATGATTATATTTGACCTTTAATTTTGTATGCTTGATATTTGCTTTCTTATGCAAAATAATACTTGTACATAATCCACTACCTTGTTGTATATGTTTCTCCAAAAAAAAAATTAAAAAAAAATAAAAAGAAGATAAAAATAAAAAAATAAATTAGATATTTACGTCTTTTTTTGAAATTTTTGCATCCAAAGAGTTTTAATTCCCTCTCTTGCTATATAAACATTCTCTTGCTATAATTCCTTCTCTTGGAATAACATTTACTTTTTTGAATTGTTGTGTAAATCGGCCAAACTAAATGCATGGTTTTACTTTTGGCCATTTGTGGTGATAGACTTGTCATGGGCAATTCAAAAAGTAATTTAAAGCGATGCATGTAATGTTATCTTTCTGTATGGATAATTTGTAAAATATGCATGTTATCTTTCCGTATTATCTTTATTAAATTTACATGGAAGAATATTTCTCTTGCAAGTATCCGAAAGGTCAATTTTATGGCTTCTTATATGAATTTGAAAGATCAATTTGTATTTCGAATTTTATCTTTTGGTTTCATCTCTTGAAGTTTGCTTTGCATCTAGAGATCCTATTAAATTCCTTATTTTGCTATGAACATATGATTTTATGAATGTATATGAAAGCATACGATATATGTTTTGTAGATCATGTCTTCTATCGCCAAAAGAGAATTAATGAGCTCGCACTTGACGGTAGCAACTATTTGACTTGGGCTTTGGACATCGAGATTCATCTCGCGTCTAAAGAACTAAGCCAAACCATTGTTGCCGAGTCACAGTGTACTAACGCCCAGAAGGCGCAGGCTCTCATTTTCTTACGTCACCACTTGAACCACAACCTGAAAAATGAATACTTGACTGAAAAGGACCCTTTTGCATTATGGAAGTCCTTGAAGGACCGTTTTGACCAACAGTCATCGATTGTCCTCCCTCAAGCCCAATTTGACTGGCTTCACCTGAGGTTTCAGGACTATAAGTCAATTATTGACTACAACTCGGCTCTTCATAAGATAGTCTCGCAACTAAAGCTCTGCAAACAAGAAGTTTCAGAGACAGACTTAATTGAAAAGACTCTATCTACCTTTCATGCGAGTAACCTTGTAATCCAGCAGCAGTACAGGGCAAAGAATTATGAAAAGCATTCTGATTTGATATCTGCACTTCTTGTGGCCGAGAAGCACAACCAGTTTTTGATGAAAAACCATAATGCACGACCTGTTGGGTCTGCCCCCGCGCCTGAAGCACATCATATTGCCCAGGGAAGCAATTCTAGAAGGGGTCGAGGAAAGGGTCGTGGTAGAGGTCACGGTCGAAACAATCGAAGTGGTAAAGGCAAAGGCAACAATGACTCCCGGACCCAAGATAAGAAACAAAGTGATCAAGGATCATCAAGGTCACAAACATGTTATCGGTGTGGATATACGGGACACTGGGCTCGTACATGTCGTACACCAAAGCATCTGGTTGAAGCTTACAAAATGACGCAAAAGAAAAATGATAAGCAACCGTCAAGAAAGGAATCTCATCACAGCAACACTGATTTGCCTGAAGCAAATGCAGTGATGAATGATGATGATGATGATCTTTTAAAATATGAGCTTGAAGACTTTGGTGATCAAGAATGATCTGTCTTATGCTCTTGGTTTATGAACCTATTTTTCGTATCGTTTTTTTGGATTATGAACTTATGTTTTTTTCATATCGTTTTATGACTTGATTTCTATGTTTTCTATTTTATCATGATGAATGGTTCACCTCTTTTTTCTTAACCTTCACATGCAATTTTTTGTGCCAAGGCATTGGTTAATTAGTAACGAACAACCACTGTTTGAGAAGTAACCCCGAAGATCTTACAACATTACAAAGTTGTTGTTCGCACAATGGAGCATGAACCAACATTGTGTTTGGTGGATAGTGCAACCACGCATACTATCCTAATGGATATGAGGTTTTTTCGTACCTTAAACAAATCAAGTAGTAATATTACTACCATTTCTAATGATCAGGTACAAATAGTGGGCTCCGGAAGAGCATCCATCATCCTCCCTAAGGGTACAAAGCTACTAATTGAAAATGCTTTGTTGTACCCTCAATCTAAACGAACCTTGCTGAGTTTCAAGGATATTCGTTCAAATGGTTTTCATATTGAAACCAAGACTAAAAACAAAGAGGAGTTCTTGATCATGACTCAGTTGATCACTGGTCAAAAGCGGGAGGTTGAGGAACTTGCCTCTTTATCCTCTGGGTTATATTATACCTATATACAACCCAATGATTCATTTGTTGCACTAACCATGAAACTCAAAAATCCACATTCTTTTCAAATGTGGCATGACCGTTTGGGTCATCCTGGGCAGAATATGATGGGTCGGATCATATCTAATTTTGCTGGACATAACCTGTCGAGATCCCAGGTACTTTCGCCAAACATGTTTACATGTGTGGCTTGTGCGAAAGGTAAATATATTGTACGCCCGTCACGTACTAAGGTTGGACAAGAATCGCCTATATTTCTGCAGAGATTGCAGGGCGATATTTGTGGACCTATTAGTCCACCTTCTGGACCATTTAGATATTTTATGGTCCTTATTGATGCTTCCACTCGTTGGACTCATGTTAGTATACTGTCCACGAGGAACAAAGCTTTCGCTAAATTTGTTGCGAAAATTATTGAGTTGAATGCCCAATTCCCAGATTATCCCATTAAATCAATAAGAATGGATAATGCTGGAGAATTCACATCAACGACTTTCAATGATTATTGTATGGCCTTGGGCATCAAAGTGGAGCATCCTGTACCTAATGTCCATACTCAGAATGGTCTGGCCGAGTGCCTGATTAAGCGTATTAAATTAATCGCTAGACCATTACTGCAGAAGTCTGGTTTACCAGTCTCATGTTGGGGACACGAAGTATTACATGCTGCAGCTTTAATTCAAATTCGACCTAGTGCATATCATGATTATTCCCCTTTGCAACTACTACGTGGTGTAGAACCTAACATTTCCCATCTGCGTGTATTTGGGTGTGCAGTTTATACCCCCATACCACCTACAAATCGTACCTCCATGGGCCCGCAGTGAAAACTAGGTATATATGTTGGTTATGAATCTCCCTCCATCATTAAATACCTAGAGCCCATAACAGGAGATCAGTTTACCGCGAGGTATGCTGACTGCATTTTTGATGAAGATCATTTCCCGGCATTAGGGGGAGATAAAAAACCTTATTTAACGAAATGCCGAGAAATCTCATGGGATGAAAAGGATCTTCAGTATCTAGACCCACGTACTAGTCAAACTGAACTAGAAGTTCAGAAAATTATTAATTTGCAAAATTTAGCAAATAACCTGCCAGATGCTTTTACTGATAACAGAGGAGTGACTAGGTCTCATATCCCTGCTGTGAATGCTCCTTCGAGAGTTGAAATCCCCGTGGGACCAAGTATGCACACTGACACTCCCCATCGCCAGAAGCGCGGGAGACCAGTTGGTGCAAAAGATTTAAATCCGCGGAAGACGAGAATTGGTAAAATATCTCAGTCACTCCAGAAAAATGTTAACCGTCCCGAAGACGAAGAACCCAGTGAACCTGCACGTGCTCTAAATAATACGAACACTGGGAATGCGGAACATCCAGATCAAAATATTTTGGGAAATGACGATGATCTGGTTGATGTCAATATAGAAACGGCCATAAATTTTGTTGATACAGGGGAAACATATAATAGAGATTTAATAGTCGTTGTCGACACTTTTGCCTATGCAGTTGCCTGTAATATTCCACAAAATAATCTGGATCCAGAACTAAAGTCAATAACCGAGTGCCGGAAGCGCTCTGAATGGTTGAAGTGGAAACAGGCAATTGAGGCAGAGCTCAACTCGCTTAATCAAAGGAAAGTTTTTGGTCCCACCGTACTTACCCCAAAAGATGTGATCCCAGTAGGATCCAGGTGGGTATTCGTACGGAAGAAGAATGAAAACAATGAGGTGGTTAGATATAAAGCGAGATTGGTAGCTCAGGGGTTCACGCAGAGACCCGGAATTGATTTTGATCAAACATACTCTCCTGTTATTGATGGCATCTCATTCCGCTATTTAATATCATTGGCAGTAAGTATGAAATTAGATATGCAGTTGATGGATGTAGTGACAGCTTACCTTTATGGGTCACTAGATGCTGATATATACATGAAAATACCCGAGGGTATTCAAAATTCCAATATGAGGGATAAAGATCGAAACATGTATAGCATCAAACTTCAAAGGTCATTATATGGCTTGAAGCAATCTGGTAGAATGTGGTATAACCATTTGAGTGAATTCCTCTTGAAGAAGGGATACGTTAAAAATGATATTTGCCCTTGTATATTCATTAAGAAGTCATCTAATGGCTTCTGCGTTATATCTGTCTATGTCGATGACATGAACATTATTGGGACAAAGGAAGACCTTATAGAAGCATGTTCATGCTTAAAAGCAGAATTCGAAATGAAAGACTTAGGAAAAACCAAGTTCTGCCTCGGCCTGCAGATCGAGCATCTTCCAAATGGAATTTTCATTCACCAAGCTAACTACATTAATAAATTATTGGAGAAATTCTATATGGATAAATCTCATCCCCTTAGCACCCCAATGGTAGTCCGGTCCCTTGAAGCGGAAAAGGACCCATTTAAACCTAAGGAGGATAATGAGGAGGTACTAGGACCTGAAGTTCCTTACCTAAGTGCTATAGGAGCCTTGCTTTACCTGGCTAATTGCAGAAGACCTGATATTGCCTTTTCAGTGAATTTACTTGCTAGATTTAGTGCCTCTCCAACCAGAAGACGTTGGAGTGGAATAAAGCATATCTTTAGATATCTCCAAGGGACAAAAGACCTTGGTCTTTATTTTGAAAACAACCAGGACATTACTTTGAAAGGATATTCAGACGCTGGTTATATGTCTGACCCTCATACTGCTAAATCGCAAACTGGTTATGTTTTTCTTTGTGGAGGTACAACTATATCTTGGAGGTCCATTAAACAGACCTTAGTTGCTACCTCATCTAATCACTCGGAGATAATTGCTTTATATGAAACCGCATGTGAATGCGTATGGTTGAGATCACTGATACAGCATATTCATCGCTCATGCGGAACAATGAGCAATGTTGATTCCCCGACTGTCCTATATGAGGACAATGCGGCATGTGTTGCACAGATGAGTAATGGGTACGTTAAAGGAGGTCTTACTAAACATATTGCTCCTAAGTTCTTTTACCCACATGAACTCCAGAAGAGTGGTGAAATACTCATTGAAAAGGTTCGCTCTAGTGAAAATCTGGCAGATTTGTTCACTAAGTCCCTGCCTACATCCACTTTTGAGAAGTATGTTTATAAAATTGGGATGCGGAGTCTAGGAAGACTGTTGTCTTCAGGGGGAGCGATAAACTCGGTCTAGGAGACTTTTAAATCCTGAAGATGATGCCCAGAAGGCTTATGGTTGTACTCTTTTTCCCTTAGCTAAGTTTTTTTCCCACTGGGTTTTTCTTAAGCTAAGGTTTTTAACGAGGCAACCGATGCAACACATGATTGATACTACATGTACTCTTTTCCTCGACTAGGTTTTTCCCACAGGGTTTTTCTAGCGAGGTTTTTAACGAGGAATGAGTATAATTATTTAATGGCCAAGGGGGAGTGTTGTAAATATTTATATTTATGGCCATTAAACTATTTAGACCTTTCACTTGCTTATCATTTAATCATGTATTGATGTTGTGTACTTGAAAGGTTGTATATGACCACTATATAAAGTGAGTGAAGATGAATGAAAGGGACACACTTACATGATGGTTATACTATAACTTGGTGTTCTTCTTCTCTTTACATATACAAACACACATACATATATATACGCAATTCCGGGTGTATAACTGTGCAAGCATCACGCGGGGACTAACGAGTGAATAGGCCAAAACTTAACAAGTAAACAATTTTTACTTAATTAATTCTTTTCCTTCTCCCCTTTCTCTTCTTTCTCCTCTCTCCCACTTCCCTAGTCCACCACTTGCATACTTGCTACCCCATTCATCCCAGCCACCATTCTATTGTCTTCTTATTACTGAACACTAATGAAAGTTTTATAAACTTGTTTTAAGGAGTTGTACGTATACTATGTTCAAACTTCAATCTAGTATTCTAGTTTATAGAAAAACAAAAATTTTAAGATAAGACAACAATGCACTATTGTAGATAAGACAACAATGCACTATTGTTCTCATTAGGTTTAATCCATAAGTTGGGTACAACATAAGAAAAATAAATTGAAAAATTACAGAAAAAGAATGACATTCGTCAGTGAACTGGCATCTTCATTGAGGATGTCATTATGTATGTCTTTAGGAAATTAGTCAGTCAACTGGTCTGCAAGTATTTAAATTATGGCATTCATTTCAATTAGATCCCAATCCCAAATTCCCATTTTAATAACAGATGAACAAGAGCAATTTTGATATTTAGTAAACTCATTCTTAATGACGGAAAAGCAAGGAGGACTGACTGAGGAATAAAAAATTTACTTCAAAAAATACTTTTAAAAAAAATTTACTAGTCACGGACGGCAACACTAAACAACTAAATTTACTT